TACGTTTGAAGGTTGTATAAAAGTAATAATGATGAGTCAAAAATTATATAAAATATATGATACTCACTTTTTTTCCCATTTTAAATAATATAAATTTAATTAAGTCTTTGATTAGGTTTAGTTAATTGATTAAAGAAAAGCACACAAGTTGTGCAAGTGCTCAAGGATATAATACCCTTTTATTAATTTAAATTTGTTGTTTTAAAATGGTGCTTCTTCATAGAGTAGTAAAAAGTTGAAAGTTTATAAGGTATTTCTCCCACCTTCTTTGTGGGTATTTGCATGCTTTCGTGGTGTAGTGATCAGCACGTTCGACGCATATTCAAGAGGTCCGTGGTGCGAGTCCCAGCAAGGGCATTGCTCATTTTTCATCTCTCCTGCTTCGAAATAACCTAATGCCTCTACAGTGGTGCCCGAACTAAAAGGTGGTTAATGATAATTCTCCACCACCAGGATTTGGCGATTAGGTGTCCTAATCCCCAGTTGCCATTTAAAAGGGGGAGTATATAAGATATTTCTCCCACCTTCTTAGCATGGCTTTGTAGTGTGGTGGCCAGCAAGTTTGACGTGTATTTGTGAGTGGTTTGAGTCCGTGGTGGATGGGCATTGCTAATTTTTCATCTCTCCTACTTCAAAATAATCTAATGCCTCTGCAAGTTAACTATCATCATTTATTTTCTAGATGCATTTCTAAAACCTCACAGCTTTAGTGCCCCTTCTAGCCATTCACCTGAGGTAAACATCACAACCTTGTCCAGCTCTCGAGAGGTATAATGTTTATTTTGGTGCAGATTTTAATATTTAAGGTTGATCTACGATTAGAAATATTTTTTCCTTGAAAATAAAACTATCCTTGAAAACAATTGGTGGATAAGGATTGACATAACAGCACTGTGATTCTGGGCATTTATCCACCAAATATAAAGCAGCTTCATAGCTTACTTGCATATCAACTGTAATAATCTCTTCTAGAGACATCTTCATCTTACTAACACCCTCTTTATCATTAAAACTCAGAATTCTGACATTAATATATTTTATTGAATACTTTCATACATTATAAGAACACTTTTACGACCATGAACTTCTTGTTTACTTATTTGATCGATTAGAACAAAGCAAGGTCTATCTGCTTGATTATAAAGATGTCTTAATGGTGGGCTTTCTAAGGAAAAGTGGCTGAAGGCCACCACCACTGCTGATGATGCAACCAGTGCAACTGCACCAAATAGTAGAATTTAGGATCCGCAAAATGTTTAGGATTACAAAAGGCAGTGCACAGCAAAATTTAAGAGCTACTAAGTAGCAAGTCACCTAGTGTCAGGTTGGAACTGGGTCACATTCATGTTATATTCCAAGAAAACTACAGAAACATCCATGCAATGAACAGTGAATAGTAGAATTATTTATAGAGATTAGAAGCCACACTGAATTATTAGCATCCAGCAATGGTTAAAGAGCCACTGGTGAGCTCAATATGAATTAACATATGACATAATTAAAGTCCTATCGCCTTGTAAAATCTATGAGAAAATTAAAAAGCCTTAAAACCTGCAGCTAGTTAACAACAAACTTACAAAAGTAGTGGAAACAAGTGATAGCCATCTACTCTGTTCTCACGTGCACACCAGCAGACAAGGGAATAAACACTAGCAGTTCAACTGGGTTCAAATATGGTGAAAAAACTATTTGCATCAGTATTTTTTTAAAATTTTTCCTATATGTTGTAACATTAAAAAAAGACAGTTTCAACTACGTATGCATCCCTACCTTTGTGCAGCCTTAACATACTTTATCTTAACTAAAATCAACCAGCCAACCAACTACCTTTGCACTTCATAATTACATTTAACAGAAATTCAAAATAACAGAAGAGTCAAAATAACAGAAGTTCATCCAGCATTTACTACACATAATCAGCATGTGTTCTCAAAACAGCTAAAATGATGTCCTTTTTTAAATGTTAGGTATAATTTACCTGGAAGGTATTATTTCCAGAGCTGTTAGAGGTCTATTCTAGCATACTAACCCACTGACATCATGCCAATGAGTAAAAAATATTATTAAAAATACAACAAAATATATTCCATTAGAACATCTCTTCATGAATTGCTCTAACAGATATTGCTATTAATGGGGTAACACTTGCTAACAGCAGTTAATACCTGTTAGCAGAGCACACATATTAAAAAAATATTTCAGTTCTCAACATTGTAATGAAATACGTTCCATAAAATGTTGCTAAAAACAATTAGGGAAGGCCATAAATTTTTCAAGATTAAGATTTCAAGATATTAATGCACATAAACTACATGGAAGAGAATTTAAGGAAGGAGAATACAAGGAGAATTTAAGGAAGATGCATCAGAATGCAAATTTCACATGCTTTCAAATTACTGAACATGGAAGTACTAGTTAAAAAATAAGAACTGATTTTCCTAATTGCTGACCAAAGGAAATATAAGAATGAATATCATTTTTCTGCAATGTGAACTTCATAGAATTATTGGCCCAAATGTTAGAAATCAACTCCACTGAACTAGCCTGCATATTTGTATACATCAACTCGCCAAAAGTATCCAGATAGCCCTCTAAAGAAGTGGATCTGGCAGGTGACGTAATTTGATGCGTAACCGAAAAAATGATGGTAATGGTTTATCAGGTCGTATTTATGCTTTTTTGAGACAATGTGGAAGTCAAAGGAGCTTAGTGACTTTGATAGTGGTGGTAGAGTGAGATGCCAACTTCATAGCAAATCAGTTCATGAAATTTCAAACATTCTACAGAAGCCAAAATACACTGTGAGAAATGTAATTATGAAGTGGAAACGTTGAGGCAGTAAAACTGCAGTAAAATGAAGTGGCAGGCAGGAAAAAAATTAGTGGTTGTAGCCGCAGAGTTCTGTGAAAGGGTAGTGAAACAAAATCGCAAGTCCTTGTTAGTTGAAATCACTCAGGAGTTCCAAAGTTCATCAGGCGTTAGGTTTAGCAGCAGGACTGTTTGTCAAAAAAAAAAAAAAAACCTGCAATTCCATGGTTATAAAGCTGCTCACAAGCCGAACATCATTCCCCAGAATGTCAAGCATCGATTTCAGAAGCGCAAAGCTCACCATCACTAGACTATTGACATGTGAAAAAATTTTCTTTGGAGTGATGAGTCATGCTTTACAATCTGGAAGTCTTATGAATGTGCCTGGGTGTGGAGAATGGCCAGCAAGTGCTTCTTAAGTGACTGCATTTTGCTAACTGTAAAGTTTAGTGGTGGCAGCAACATGGTGTGGGGGTGTTTTTCATGTTTCGGCCTGGATCTCTTAGTTCCTGTGACATAAAGACAGTGACATCCCTTAGTTCCTGTGACATAGACAAACATGAACTCTGAGGTGTACACAGACATTCTGGACAATGCTGCTCTCCCAACTCTATACCAATATTTAGGTGAAGGCCCATTTCTCTTCCAGCAGGATAATTACTCCATTCATACATTGATACTTGCACAGCCACAGTTTGACAAAATCAGTGTTCAAAACTAGGCCTACTCAGAGCCCAGAGCTAAATCCCATAGAACACTTTTGGTATGAATTAGAATGCGGATTACGTAGCCAGCTGAATCTACCATGCTTACTGCCAGCACTCGTTTCAACTGCGATGGACGCCTGAAAGTCAAATCCTATGGCCACCCATCAAAAACTGGTAGAAAGGCTTCCCAGTCAGTATTGCAAGAGAGGGACCAACATCATATTAATATACGTTTCAAAACTCTCTGAGTACATACCACTGAGTGTACACATACTTTTAGCCAGATAGTGTAAGTGTATATGCATTTTTAGCAGCAAATTGTTTGTGGGCTGTTTGTGGACTGTGGGCACAACAGCACATCGATGGGAGAAGACATTAATAAGCAATATTCTTACATCAAATGAATTACGATTTACTATCCATTCTGATAATAGATAATTCAACATTTAAGGGGAACAAATTATTCATAACCGCTTTTTAACTGAGCAAGTGTTTGATTTGGAAAGGTGAAATGATGGTATCGCTAGTACCTCCATCAATGATTGCACCAACTTGTACAAAACCATAATGAAGCACAGTTATTATATGGCAGAGAGCATTCCTGTTTAGATTGGCTGCTCAGCAACATAGGGATATATCATCGAAATATTTGTCATTCTGCATGCTGCAGTAACATCAGATGAATATAATTTCATGGATGATAATTGCAGGATGCAACAAGTTCAACATGTGTGCTGCTTCCTGTTTGAAGTAGAATGGCATCTTCCTTAGATATGAATCTAGTCAAGAATGTTTGTGATACTGTGAAAAGGACTGTTAGTTGATTATAATTTCTGCAAACAGACCAACAATTTGAAATTGTTTATCTGAAGAAAACAAACAGATTTTTTAATTTCTCCCTAATGGCTCTCATTGACTCCATGCCTGAAAAGTGTGAAATGAACTGTTTATCCAATTAAGAATGATTTGTTTCCAAAAAAACTCGAGTTTTATTTTCTGTTTTACGATGCACACGGAATTACGAATTCTCACTTTTGTTACTTCCAGACTTAAAAAAAATTCAATCATAAATTATTTAGCCCCTTAAGTAGTTTACTTCTGTATCTATGATTCATATTGCAGCATCCAAAACATTTCTGCTATTTGTAGTTTATATCCCAAAACTAAAACATCACTTAGCTGTTTTAAACAGAGTATTTTATAACATAAGCATATTGGCATTAAGTTAGACTACATTCAGGTAAATTTCAAAGCTTATTTAAGATGCTAATAGAAAGAAATGACTTGCATTTTGTTTATGCATACAGAAAAAAAAAAGTTATTTACAGAAAGAATTACACAAAGAGAATTTTCCTTAAAAAAATCTTTTACAACATAGTACATGAAAAGTAGCTACGAAATTATATACAGAAAAAAAAAATTCTACTTAAATTTTGGTTTAATTTTAAAAGTAAAATACAAATGTAAAAAAGGAATTTTGCTAACCATTTCTGTTATTATAACAGGCCATAATGATGTAACATGATTGGGAGACATTCTAACTAACAGAACACGAAAACACAAAAAAATCTGGGCTTGAACTACAGGCACATGAGACATCCTGAGACTTTCTGTTAGCCTTTCTATAAAGGTAAAGAACATATTCAAGTATTCAAATATAATTTAAAATGGCACATAATGTAACAACAAAACTATGAGAATACATAAAAAGAATTAGTTTGTCTGGGTGTCAATTTATTTGAAATATATAAACATACTTTCCTAATATGCAAATTACGATGAAAACATTCTAACAACCAAAGTAACATTGAAATTATGTTATTTACTTGTTAGCTATTGGCCTGAAGCTTCCACAGTAGCAAATAATTTTTAATAAATACTCTATAAATGACAGAGATGTTTTAGCATTAAAAGATAAATTTTATTTACACAGCATTAAATCAACACAGTTTCAAGTCCACTCTGATATGTCCAATAAGACATTATTGGAACCATGAAAGTTAAAAGTTAAAAATCATATATTACACTTAAGAACTCCACAAGGCTTTTTTAGATAATCAGTAGGTATTTTTGCAGACTGTATTTCTCAGTAGATATATTAAAATGATGATTTAAATTACTTATGAATTATTTATGTGGAAGTAGCTAACATTAGTAATTTACACAGTTAATACTACATGCATTTCACCAACTAATTACACCTCTGGCAGTGTTCAGAAATAAATGTAAAATAGTATTTATTCTTTAAAAATTGTACCCATTTCAATGCATTGATCACAGCAAAAAATATTTAGCTTTATCTATCAAACAGAAACTAAACAAAATGGACTATTAATCCCCAAAATAAAGGTCAATTAATGGCAATGTTCTTTGAGCCAATATTAACTGTAATTACATCTACATTTCATATTCACAACAAGCATATCCATATTGCTTAAAAAAATTTATTTTACATATTTAAAATGATAATTTTTATATAAAAAAATTTATTTTACATATTTAAAATGATAATTTTTATATGTCGTAAATTTAAATGTTAAAAAAAAATCCAATAAACTGCAAACATGTTAAGAAAATTGCATATACTCTTACATTTCTTAACTTTTCTGCTATTTACACAATTTTTAAAAATTCTGTCAACTTCAGAAAAGAAAATTATACAGACATTGTAAAACTATACAATATTTCTGCAGCCTATATAATTCAAATACAGCTGAATTGCAGTTTAGCTTAATTAAATTTAATAATTCATTAATTAATATCCATATAAAAGTTGCAGTTAGTCTTTTCATCAACATTCCTCTTAACTGACAAATAATAATTTATCAAATACGAATGTTTTCTCAAGTTTACTTTTTACACAGTTTAGTACACATAAAAAGTAAACTTCTGCCACTGGGTATGGAAATAGTTTTGACAACTTAAAATGAAGCACATAAAAATATTAGTGATATAAATATCGAAAAATTAGGGAAAAAAGACAAATCCATTTATATTTGATGTCTTTGATGCAATTGAGTTTTGTCTGAGAATCATATAATAGAATGATACCCTACACTATGAGTAATTTATCCAAAGCAAGCAAACTTTGTTACAAGCTATAATCCAACCCAAGAAATGCATCATTACAAAGATCTTTAGACAAGATACCATTGAAAGGTGAAATGAAATTTTAAAGATCTACCAATTTTCAGATTACATATTTATGGACTTAGGTTCCTCAACATTTGCAGACTTAGGTTCCTCAACATTTGCAGTAAAATATGATGGTGATGAAGCAGGCACATATGCAACATTGAAAATGAAAGATTAAAATGAGTAATTTTCTCAGATGCTCTTTCTGGTGTACAGACCACAAGTAAATTCCTAATAAGATACGGGAATTTTCTGAGCAGATGATGTACCCTCAAATAGTGGCATATCACCGATGAATTTCAAGATGGATCATGACAATTTCAATCAGAATACTGGTTAAATTGTTATACTACATACTTACAAAATATATCAGTGGCCGCTCTTTCTCCCCTCTCACCAGAATAAAAAGGATTTCAAGCAGTCCTGTCAAATCTTGCAGTTAAAAAAAAGTCCTTTGTCAAATACATTACTTTACTGTTTTTATCTACTACACTCTTAGCATGGTGCTAACGAAGCTGGCTGCCACAGCTTTGGGCTCAGGTTCAAACCATAGAGAAGACTTTGACATTTGTAAGTGTATTATGACAGACGCTTAATATTGTTGAGCCCAAAAGGCCCCTCAAGAGATTTGGTGCTAAGAGCAGAAAGAAACCCTCCCAGAAGTTCTCCATCAAAATACAGAAAGAGAAGGGCAAACTTGTACTGTCACCTACAAGGTACAAAGAGCATTTGCCAACAATAGATGTTACCTCTTAGACACAATAAAATTCATGCACGTGATCTGCCTCAGGTTGAGATCAGGAAAATTAGTAACACCAATAACATTGTCATCACATTATAACAAAACATGGATAGCCATCCTATTCGACATTCACAGAAATATTATCCAGATATGCATGTACCACATTTATGATAACCAATGCCAAATACATAACAAATCACCTATTAATAAGCACAATGTGCTATATCACCAGTTGCTAGAACAATAAAGTATAAAATAAAAGATGGAGCATTTAACATTTTCTGGGAGCTGATAAACATATTTGGAGAATTATTACTTGAATTTAATATTAAAATTTCCTAAAAACAGCTATTTATCAAATAAAATTAATTTTTCTTAAATTCATTCATTTTACTTTGTATATAAAATATCTCTAATTAATATACTTTACTTAGACTTTCACATTAAAATATGAATTCCTTTCTCTCTTACCACATATTTGTGAGCATATCTTTGTTTCCTAATTTAACAAATCTTATTTAATGGATTTTATTCCTGTTCCTTGCAGTTTTTTAATCTGGATTTAACGGTATAAACAGTAAGATGAAGCAGATGAATATCATGGAATATAAAATCTATGAATATGAAATAAGGACTACCTTGAATATCAGGCATGTATTTCTGATACTGATCTGTCTCACTACAGAATATAACGAAAGCCAAACGTTTGAGCAAATGAGCACGTTGTTCATATTCTTGTTCTTTACTGCTAAATAAATATAAGGATCCAGATTGAGCAACTGAAACACGAGCTGTAAAGAAAAATTACAGATTGTGCAATTTAAAAAAATACGAAAATGTTGTTATTCAAACAAACATCACTTTTTTTTTCCTTTTTGACATGAAACAATGCAAAACAATGGCCAAAAGTATTTTACATGACAAGCCATTTTGCCATAAAAATGAGAATCTTTATCTGACTTTTAAAAAAATTTTAGGATAATTTCAATGCACTGTATTAGACAAATGAATGCAAAGAATATTAATAAATACTTGAGAATAACCAGTTAGGCTCATGTCTAAAATTCAAACATTTTTATAAAAAAATTCAAGACTATAAATATGATATCATATGAAAAGTGAAATGATTAAAAAAATAAACGCTAAATCATATCTTAAAAATATATACATACAAAGTTGCTTGAAAATGATATTCATAAGATTTGTTCATTTTGTTAATTGAATGACCATTTGGTGGTTAAATTTTGAATTTTTCCATGATTTAATGAAAATAAGTGTACTATGGTCTTTGAAATGTATACATTTATAATAGTAGGGCTAAACTCAAAATCAAGTTTCACAGAAACACTTTTTTCTCTTGCAAAAATTTTTGGAGCTATATGCATAACCTCTTTGCCTGACATTTAGAATTACATAAATATTTGAATATTGCTTCTCAGAATGCGTAACAATAATGAGAAAAGTCTATTTAGGAAAAGTACAAAAAGTGCATAACTAAATTTAATTTTTACTTTTTGCATTAAAGATACTGAAATGTTCCACATAAATTACTCCAAATACAATAATTTCAAGTTGATTTTTTGTGCATTTTGCAATTTCTTTGAGATGAAAGAAAATTACATAGCAGGAAAATCATATTGACAGCTAAAGAAGATTTCAAGTTTTCAGAAAAATAATCCATACAATATATACATAAAAAAAAGGAGAAATGTGTAAGAATTCTGAAGAAAAAGAATATTATTTTTCAAAACATGCAAATCCAGCATTACAAAAATTCATTTTAGAAATTTCCCACAGAGATTCTCTGTTACAAAAAGGAATGATACTTTATTCTAGTCAATTTAAACCATCTTTTAAAGGTAAATGTGCTTTTAAGGTAAATTCCTGATTTGAAATAAGCTTGCCCATACTTAATTTTGACAAAAGTGATTCCAATAGTTGCTATTAATCAATATCATGAATACTAGCAAAATTCAGTCTTGCTAAATATTTTTAGACTGCTCATTCCTATTAAAATCAATAAAAAAAATGGATTACTGAAATAGAGTACTAATGTTTAGAAAGTGGCAACAAAAATAAGAACTGAGAAACATAATGACAACAAAAAGTAAAGCAGTTTAAATATCAATAAACTGTTTACCTATATAATTTTTAAAATGCATCTATGGAAAAGAACACACTGAATCTATTTTGAACTACCATATTAAGTCATGTATATTACTCAGAAATTGTAGTCTCTAATATGTTTATACATGCGAAAGATTTTATATTATTATTATTTTGCTTATAAAAGTTCTCGGAAAAAGGAATATAAGTCGTGAAAATAATAAATATTTCATTGTTCACAAGCGCTTCTAAATAAAAAAATCCGCATTTGAATAAAATATAATTAAAATACAAAGACACTCAAGTCCTCAAAATTTATACCGAAAAGCAAACACAATGAAACTAAATAAAAAGCAGCACATTTATTCAGCCCCATACATTAGAGTGGATTATTTATTTTGATTACAGTAAAGCATACTAGGGCTATCTGCCTTCATGCAAGATTTTTAAAGGGCAACTGGATAGCATTCACATTAAACATAAGAAAAATCACAAAATACTTATGAAACCAGGTCATTGTCATTACTCTTACTCTGTATGTCAGAACATTGAAACTCTATATATCAGAACATTTAAACTACAGATTTCATAATCAACTTAATTATAAATGAAAACGCACTGGCTACGTTTTTAGTGCTTTTCTATTTTTTCTACAGAACAAAATAGTTTGATTCTAGATTTCATTAATTTTAAAATTAATTTCTAAAAATAAAAGAAAGAACTGCATGCAAAATTATATAGTCCAACATGTCATTGTGAAACATGTTATTATGTGTATTATGTAATAATTAATTTATACAATAAAAAGTAGTTTTGATATTTAAAGAGCCTACAGGAAGATTTAAGAATGATTTACAAGATAAATATAAGTAAAGTACACATGGAAAATAAAACTGCATACTGTTTACTTACATATAAAATCTTTGAATGTAGTTTTATCATGAGTCATTAGATGATCAATGATAGATCTCCAATAACCAATGCAAGATGAACTCATTTGGAAAAATGAAGCATCTAACAGCAACTCAAATGCTTCTTTACGCCAAGCTTTCCTTGTGTGCTGATATCCAGAAATATTTGCAAGTAGCTGGCAACATGCACGAAAACTGGGAAAATTATGTGTGCTAAAAATAACAATGCAGAATTTAACATTGTAGATTTTTAATTATATTTTTCTTTTCACATATACATTTCAATACACAATATTATATTTAGATTCATAATTATTGAAAGACTTCAAAATATTTAACCTCGGGACTTTTCTGATTTGCCCGAGCGCCGCTCGGGCAGCAAGTTTTTTTACGGCCGATCCACTGATTTGCCCGGCTTTTTCTCATTTTTTTAGTTTCCATTGCTTCTAATAGATGGCTCTAGTTGTCCAGTAAAGACTGGCTTTCAAAATAAGTGTAAACCGGTTTCATCTGGTTTTACTGCTTTACGCGGGAAAAAGTGCAAATTTAGTTTACTGTATCACGCGTTGCGAATACTTTCTTTCCTCATTTTGTGTTACAATGAGTGATAGTGAGCGGCTTATTACAGAATATAATTCTGATATTGGATCAGACAGTGAATCGGAAATTTCGCTAAATGATTCAGGCAGTTGTGAAAGTTCGTTATTGGACTTCTCTAGTGACGAAGAAACGGAAAGTTCGAATAACCTAACTCAGGTTCGGAACTTTTGCGAAATTGATATCAATAATCCTCCTCCACCACCGCCAAGATTTCCTTTCACAGCGAATCCTGCTATCCATTTGAATATTGATGTAAATGACGGAACTTTACAGTTTCTTGATATTTTCTTCGATGATAACCTACTTGAAGTGATAGTTTCGGAAACCAACAAATATGCAGATCGAAGTATTCGAAACTGTAATCTTCGAAGAAATAGTAGAGCAAAAAAGTGGGAAACCAACATCAAAAAAAACGAAATTCAAGTGTTTTTTGCATTGAATATTTTACAAGGGATTGTAAAAAAACCTGCTATTGAACTATACTGGAGTAAGCGACATTCAACTTCAACGCCATTTTTCTCAAAAATTATGTCTTACCGTCATTTTCACCTAATTCATCGATATTTACATTTTTCCGATGATGCGAAATTTGATGCTAAAACACATGAGTGTCCGAAATTACAAAAACTGTGGCCTGTAATAAAACACTTGAATGCACGTTATCAAGAAATCATGACACCTGAAAGAGATGTAACAATAGATGAGAGCTTGATGCTCTTCAAAGGACGACTGCACTGGAAGCAATATATACCAATAAAGAGATCACGATTCGGTATAAAAAGTTTTATGTTATGCGAGTCAAAGTCTGGTTATGTATATCAGCTTATTATATACACTGGAAAAGACACACTTTTCGATAATAATTACCAATATTTGTGCAAGTCATCTCAAGTTGTGATGACACTTATGCAGCCATTATTGAATAAAGGATATTGCCTAACGACAGATAATTATTACACATCTCCAGAACTGGCAGATATCCTTCTTAGCAAACAAACAGATATGTATGGAACACTCAAACTCAACAGGAAAGACGTTCCAAAGGAACTGCAATCAAAAAAACTAAAAAAAGGTGAAGTCCGTGCTTTCCAAAGAGGAAAAGTGTGTATCATCAAATGGATGGATAAGAAGGTTGTAAGTCTTTTATCTACAATACATAATCCCGAAATGATCGAAGTGCCATCTCACAATGATGAGGTCAGAAAAAAACCACAAGTAGTAATGGAATATAACAATACAATGGAAGGTGTAGACAGACTAGATCAACATCTTACCAATTATCCCATCATAAAGAAGAGAGGAAAAAAATACTACAAAAAAATATTCTTCCACCTTTTTGATATATCACTGTGGAATGCTTTTGTTTTGTACCAGAAGCACAGCGGAAAATACTCCCATTTGAATTTTAGACTAGATTTAGTTGATCGCTTGATTGAAAGGCATGGAACAGTAAATGAAAGAATAGGACGACCAGGAATTTTGCCCAATCCTTTACGATTGATGGAAAGACACTTTTTAGAAGTGATTCCTGCCACCGAAAAGAAATTGAGACCGACGAGGCAATGCTTTGTGTGTTGCTCAAAACGGAACGAGAGCGGAAAACGGATCAGAAGAGAAACAAGATATTTTTGTCCTGATTGTGATGTTGGACTTTGGTTTATCTCCATGCTTTAAAATTTACCATACAAAAGCTGATTTTTGAAATAAAATGTAAGTATTAAAATATTGCATGCTCTTTCTCTCGCTTCCATTCCTGTAAAATGTTCTTTACAGTTCAGTTAGTTGTTCTTAAAAAACCCACTTTAAGTAAAAATGCCATTTTTTCGCTTAATTAAAAATTTAAAATAAATTAATAAATGCAATACTTGTAACAATTTTGACTGTGGATTTGAGTTTATACAATCGATTTTAATACAAAATTGTTTATAAAAAATGTGCTTATTTTTGGACATAATATGGCAGAAAAACGAAACTGTTAAGTGGTTAAAAACATCTTCTGTTCTGTTCCTCCTCCCCACGAAAAAAAAAAAAAAAAAGGGAATTGAAAATAAGAATTACATTACAGCATGTGATATCAATATTGCTTCAAAATACAGAGTCTTCACACTTAGTTTAGTTTCATACTAAAGCTGTCTCTGTTCTTAGTACAGCATGTGCCATTTCCACTGGACCCCCCCAAAAAAAAACACCTAAAAACTGTATGAAATTCAAATACAGTATATATATTCAAAACAATCTTAGAAAAGTTATATTCCCTCCTCTGTGGCCACATTTCAGGATGTCATTAATCAAATTTAATCAAGTTCAAATTATTTAAAATAATGTAGTTTTATGCTGCATTTAATATCAGATTGTCAGTGTTGTACTTAATAACAGTATTAGAAGCCATGAAAATTACAGAGCATGTCCTTATAATCACTTCCAAATCCACCATGACCTAACTTATGAATAAAACACACAAATATTTATTAAAACTGGCTAATGAAAGCAGAGTACCAGATTCTTGACACTCTAAGCATTACAAATTCAGCTAAAGTTCCTAGAAATGCCATGAATAAATGGTATTTCCTTGATTATAATTAAGAAATGACTCTCTCACTTCGTACCTGTATTCTTTTCTTCCAATAAACATAAAACCTGACATTGGATACATTAAAAACTGGAAGAAATTTTCATGTGTAATGAATATGAAAGCTATCCTTTTGCATGGAATTTTTACATCCATAAATCTGAGAGGATTAATGAAAATAGAATTACAATTAGATCATAAATAAAATTTCAGAATTATAGGATTAATATGCAATTTTGTAAGATGTTACCATTGTTATTATTTTGCTCTCCATATATAGTTTTTGCTGTTACCTTATTTGTGAATCAGAATCCCAGCAGTTTGTAATGCAATTTGTTTTCAAAAGACAAAAGTGTCCAGCCCCAAAGACTAGACACTTTATTATTAAACATTAATCAGGAATGGCCAAATCCATCAATCATCTAGTCATCTCATCAACAAGAATATTGCCCAAAGCACACAGCAAGGGGTAGACCAATATTACACTAATAAGAAAGGGGGACAGATGACTACAAGCACCCATGCCTTCCTCAAGATTCAAACCTGAACCCATTGAGAAGAATCCTAAATACAATAGTACTGTTGCAGACTATGCTGCAGTATTTAGGATTTTGTACATTTTGGAAAATGTACTTTTAATGTAAGTCATATTGACTATTAACCACTAATTTAAGATTCTTTAATATGAATTTAGATACCAATATCTAATACCGACATTTTGCAGATTTCGTTAGTGTTAAAGGCACTACACATTCAGTTTTAACTCAATGCATTCTTAAAAATGTATACATAATTAAAAATGTGTACATATGAATATTTTTACTGGAAACATGCATGGTGAATTCAAAGTACATCAGCTGGCAGAAAAAAATATTCAGGAGTTCAACAATATATTAGTGGTTTGAATCTATCAGCATTGCACAAATGCCTAACTCTTTTCGCTATCAGAATTCAGTTGCCAGTAATTCTCCTTCATGATTTAGTCAAGGGAATTTCATTCTTGGAAACAGTCCAGAAATTTCATGTGCTCTTATGAGCATCAAAGAATCCTTAACACTGATGATGTGGTAAATTTATAATAATATGTTTTTCTTTCTCTTTCTACACAAATTGTAGCCTGTGATTATTTTCTTTAACCTATGAATTTTGATTACTAATGCTTTTATTTAGAATTCATGTCTTTTAGGTAGAAAGGGTAGAAAAATACATTATTGCATGAGGCAGCAAATTTCCTAGAGCCAACTCTGTAAATTATTCTATTCTCAAATATTACCTACTCCCCTTTTGCAAATGCATTTCCGGCCTTTTAGAAGACATATATGGAATATCAGATATATATTAAATGCATACTAATTTTAACACCATAAATAGGAACAAAATGAAAAGTGCTATTAATTTGCAACATCTCAATTTTACTGGCAAGAAACAAGTATGCAATAAAATGTCAAATTCAAACAAAAATAATATATGAAAAGCTGTCAGATTTTTGCTGCCATAAGAGATCCACTATATGAATAGTATATGTGCCAATACATTATAAGTTTAAACAATACTTTTAGTTTTGGACTACTGTTCTAAATATATTTAACTCAATATAGATTTTAACTATTTATAAGCTAAAAAGATTCTTTGATCCCCTAAAGAAAAAATATGAAAAAGACACATGAAAGGAATCATCAAATAACAAAAACTGGCATACAGAATGTACATGAATAAGAAATCTTTACAATTCCATGGTAATGGAACCATTTATTCAGACAAAACCAAGCCAATTTGTGTACATTGACATTTAGGCTCTCATAAATGTATCCAACATGTTACAGATGCACAATTTATGAAAAGCATCCTGAAGTATAACATGCCGTATATGGTCCAAATGCCTAGCAATTTTTTGATATAGGCTTAGGCATGTCTCATCATGTGTCAAATACAGTAGTTGATCTGTGAGAGGTCAGATAACTGTTCAGATAAAGGGTATAAATTGTTCGTGCACGGTCAGGCCAAGTCCAGCCAAAGAATAGTTTGAGGATGATGAAATAAGAAT